TTTGTGCAACCTCTCTATACAGCTTGCATGATCTCGAAGAAAAAGCTCAACATATTTTCGGCACTTCACGACCTATCATTTGTTGAGAAATCACTAACAGATTTTCATTCTTAACACAACGGTCTAAGCTTCAAATTCATTTAAACGTAACTGTACATCGATTACTGATTGCATTTATGCGATTAAAAACTTTATCACTAATCGATAAAGTTGATAATGGTTTGTTTACTTTCAAGTATCGATAAAGGTAAGTCGGGCGATAGATCGAAGTAAAAAATAATCACGGTCGTTGTATAGTGGCGCGATTCGACTCGAGGAGGTCATACGATATAACTTTTTGCCATTCGGTATTCAGAGTTGATCTTTTTTTAACCACCTTGAATAGACTGCCGCTTCACTTTAAATATGTTTACGCCGATATAAGTTTTTTGCGTCTTTGATGAAGTCCTACTAAAATGAATGTTCAAGTCTCCGAGTCTGACCGTTAGTGAAATAAAAAATATGGGTCGCATGTAATAAATTGTCTTACTAATATTATAAACTAGCTTTCGCTCACGACTCCATCCGCGTGGAATTAAAAAAAACAAAAGTGAGTAGCCTATGTATTCTTCCAGACTGTCCTTTATATCTATACCAAATTTTATCGAAAACCGTTCAGCCGTTTAGGCTACAAACTCTAACAAACATCCAGCCATCCATCTAAACTTTCGCATTTAAAATATTATAGTACGATGCGAAAGTTTAGATGGATGTTTGTTTGAGTTTGTAGCCTAAACGGCTGAACAGATATCGAGGAAATTTGGCATAGATGTTAAGGATAGTCTGGAATAACATAGGATACTTACATTTGTTTAATTCTACGCAGAGTCGTGGGCGAAAGCTAGTTTATAAATAAAACAGATAGGAACCAAATGTACTTTGTAGTCATTAGTTTAAACAGGTTTTCTTCCTTTGACATATGCACCGTTGATCGAGTCTCTAGTTGCGGTGGCTGAGGTTAATCGATTATATTGCATTTACTTTCTGAGAAATGTGATAAAAGAGGAACATTACAAGACACATATCCTGTAAGAAAACCACATTATTTAGACTACTAGTACCGTGCATTTTAATTATAAATTTCATATGGTTTTATTAAGAACTGTGAAGTGTCTAAAATTCTACAGGCGTGTGAAAATAGTTAAAATTCTGTTGGGTTGTTCATAAACATATTCAGACAAAAAACTTTATATTTTTCAAAAAAGGCGAAAAATAATAAGCCAAATAACAATTTGTAATAGTACTTTACAGCTCTTCTTCCGGAAGAAGAAGAGAAGGAGTAGAGGCTACAAATCATTTTGTACCAAGAATAATCCAGTATCACGATTTAGCGCTGTTGTCACTTCCAGCGTGCACTTCAGGCATATCACGATATCAATCGCCAAATGCCGCATGGTGACATCACTAGCAGCCTTGACAAGTGCCCTTTTGACATTTTACACGAACACTAAGCAATAGATGTGGCACTTGATTTATAGTAAGCGTACTCAAACCATGAGATTTAAATGCAAAAACTCAATGTATGAAATATACAGATGTCTCAGTAACAATATATTTTGGTACGTACTTTGTATATTTATAGCAGTACATACTTGCATTTGTTATATTTGCCCACCTAATAGGAGGTACTTTATAGTCGTTATTTAGTCAGCTTATAAGTCTTAAGTGTCATTTGATTGTAGTTCTCCACTATAAGAATTTATTTTGTTTTTATAATTGAGAAGTAAGTGCAGCACAATATGCAATTGTGACATAAAAGGTTAGAAAATATGATTTACTAGCTTTCTAACGAAAATAATAAAAAAAAAACAAAAGTGAGTAGCCTCTGTGTTCTTCTAGACTATCCTCTACGTCTATGCCAAATTTTATCGAGATCTGTTCAGCCGTTTGGGCTACAAACTCTAACAAACATCCATCCATCTATAATAAAGTTTCGCATTTATAATATTAGTAAGATTAGAATAAACTCAAAATCGGTTTAGTAGATCGATATCAAATATTATTTTAACATTATAAAGCTGCATTTTCACCGAGTAGCATAGGATGTGTTTATTTTTATTAAATTCCGAGCGGAAGACGTCACAAGCAAAAGCAAATTGTTTATAAGACCTTTAGTTACAATTCAATAGTCTTGTTCAAGGACAGCGAACTAATAGTTCCAATAAAACAAAGGACCCATTGTCTGTACTGTTTTAACTTTCACCGTCGCCATTGGACATTTTACAACAGGAGTGCATTATAAGATTGATTCAGATCTTTAAGATAAACTGTGATATGATCTAAGTTGAGTTGATTTTGTACTTCTAACAATGGGATCGTAAAATTGTCGGGACTTATCTCGGGTTCTATTGTTTCCTTAATGTAAGGCTTGAATAATTATTATTAGCAGTTATTGTCTCTTGGAAACCTTAGACATCAGAAAGAGTACAATTCCATTTTATTACCATATTTTATTTGTAATTCAAATCGTAGTCTTTAAGAACTTGAAACTTGTTTATTCTAGAAAATCATCATGCATTTCTAAATATCAATTTCAAACTGTTGTAGACAAAATTCTGTTGCAATCAATACTTGACACGTTTCTCAGAAGCTTCGATTGATTATTTTAATTAATCACGTACGATATACCTTCTAACAAATACGTACGATACGGAGAAATTAATAGACAAAGAATCAAACACTAACGTAGAGATGCAATCATTAAGGGTTGACGAAAATGTAAAGTGTTGAATGTCTAATTTCTCACTCGAATAGTCGACAATCCTAACATCGGGTCCTCAAAGCAAGTAAAATAATCTAAATATTTGAGGTCAAATATTTTTCTCAATAGGAGGGAACCCTTTAGCCTAAAATAACCCCCAGTTCAGTTTATAGAGAAGTATTTGAACATTGAATTATGCTGAAGGTTCTTTCAGGCAATAACAAGGTTGAATTTTAATGTTTTGTTTTGGAACAATGAATTGCCCTCATGCGTTGTGAAATAAATAATTCATTCTACAGGCAACCTTCTTAAGAATTTAACTTTTTATACTTTGAATTAACACGATCACTGCCCCAAGTCCATTTTAGTACTTTCATGGAGAACATTGGCATTCAAAGTGTTAAAATCCTACGCATTTTCCTCTTTGTTTACAGTTGTACCTTATGTCGCAATGATATGAGATAACAATAGCGTCTATAGAAATGTAGTTACTTGAACAATAAAATATGTATAACCTTATCGCCCAACTACTATACATACAAAGGAAGGATGTAAAGCTTGGATAGTGTTTTCCTAACCTATTCTTTAAAAAGAAAATCTTAAACGAGACAAATATACTCGTAATATTTGTCATTGTAATTGATTGAAAATAAAGCGAAATAACGAGAGTTATGTGAAGATATTTAATTTTTTTAAATGACAATCATCAGCTAAATTTATTATCTAAGATTGTCAAAAAACTATTACGTTTCTCTACATATTGAATTACAAGATAAGTTGTGAAATGTTACTTTATTAAAATAAATGATTCAAGGAAGTTTTTTTAATGTGAAATAAAATTGAAAGTAACATTACAGTTAGATAATTTTAAAAAATTGGATATGTACCAATGTGAAAAGAATTCAAAACTACAAATTAAGTCTGTAAATAAACATAACGTAACATTTATTTACTTTTACCGAAGCTGCCCCCACGCAATCGCATTATGTAAATTAGATGAGTAATTTGTGTCTTCTATCCAACAAATGAACTGATAGAACTTAAGCGTCGATTTCTACGCTATTTATGGATGAAGATGTACCTTTAGTTTTCTAACCTTCTTTTCTATAGACAGCTAAAAAATAAAATAGGTAGCTTTTTAACACACACAATGTCCCGGTAAATTTTATGTAACGAATAATAAATGTAACTGATATTACTTCTGGACCTACTAACAGGATATACAGACATGTATAAAACTCAAGGCCATAAACTAGTCAAATAGAGACCATGGATTCCATTCGTTTTTTGAATTTCCGGTAATTTTAAAGGGTAATTACTGTATTGGGGATTAGATATTATAGTGTGAAATCGATACGATTGCAAACAATTTCGTCAAATCGATTTTTCTTCGAGTAATCGAATCGTAATCGATACAACCGCGGCCTAACTCGATGCTTTGTAATTTAACGAGCAATCGAGGCTTATTAGTAGTAATGGGAATTTACGATACACGTTACGTAAGAGATTTGTTACCGAATCCACCTGAAGTTAAATTGCGTAAAATAAGTAAGGTATGTTTTTATTTAAGGTTATATTGGAATAAACTTGATGTGAACTGAAATTCGAAACTTTCATAGACTCAAAATTCCATTAAGGAAAAAAGCTGTAAAAGTGAATTCGTGACAAACTCACGTCGTGCCCTTTTGTGTGCATTTCTATTAATTTTTCTTGAATAGCTTTGACACAAATCACAAGCCATGGGTGCATTCGATACGCCATGCGCCTTGCGACCGCACTTCACAACCGAAACTATTTAGAAGTCACATTTTTTATTACCAAAAATGCTATCGGGCTGGTTTCTTTGTGTACAACAATTTTCGTTTAGTAAATAACTAGTTATACACTTTTTCAATGTGATTGTAGTGTTTTGAATAAATTTACATTTTAAATCAGTTCTTTTGTGTCACTGCGTTCATATTTTATGTCATCAACTTCGGGAAATTTGCTTTTAGAAAGTCATTATGAACTACAACAAAAAGTGTTAAGAGATTGCAATGCAAGAAGTGAAGTCAGAAATTTCGTATCGCCGACAAGACCAAAAGCTCCCTAAAAATCATCGATAATATTTCTTTCGACGTATTTATAACCTGTACTTCTCGTATTGCATTGGCATTCATAAGATTGAACAGCTGTCGATCGTATCAAAGTAATGAACGTTCTCCGGATGACAGGACGTTACTGACGAATTCTTTGTCGTTAACTCTTCATTTGTCTTTAGGTATTGCAACGCGACGTGGAATGCCACGGGCGCATCGTGAGCTCAGTGGTCCGGCTGTGTGGCGGCGGAGACGCGGCGCGCGCACTCGAGCGGCGCTGGCATCTGCTGTACTTGCGTGCCATCGAGTGGCAGTGTCATCTGGAGGCCTGCCTCGCTAAGAGTGACAACCAGGTAAAGTACACAGAAAATTTATCTCATGTTACAGTTTGGCCATTTGTATATGAAATATACGACTATGAATACGTCTTCGAAACCTATTTGTTTGAAATCCACTCTCTATTTGACTAAGGTCGTTAAACATAACATTGTGCGGTACGTCCCTTGCCTGTCTAGATGGGTTTACTGCATCGATAATCTATGCCTAAACCGGGTCGTAAGAGAGTAGTCGTTTTGTGTGAAAGCTGTGACATTAGTCAATACGCTCAAGCTTCAGTTAGAATGTCGACCTCACCACCGTGAGGTTAATTACTCGCAAGACGTGAGACCTCGAATTAACTATTTAAGGCGAACCGTTTTACCCATAGAAGTCTTCTTTCTTTCCAAAATTATTCTTTGTTTTACTTTTTAATTCTTTTTCTTTCTATCATAAGTTGAATAAAAGATTATTCAACAGTTGCAACTAGTTGCGGATCATCATTACACAACTTGCTGAGTAATCCCGCTTTCGACTGACCACAATAAAGAAAGTGTTTACTACTGACACGAAATAAGAACGGCAACAAAAACTATGATTTTAAGTACGTGAGGCACGCCGCCGCATCGTGGTATTGACCACAGCCGAAAGAAACGCAATTCTCTAAACAGAATGTATCTCGGTCGTTTATAGCTGTAATGCAAAACTTAAGATGCTTGGCTAGAATCCTCATTTCGACGGACGATTATGATAGAAGACACTCGTGAAATCTTGTATTTTAATATTCAAAACACTTTTATTAAATACTAGCTTTCGCCCGCGACTCCGTTAGCGTAGAATAAAAAAATACAAAAATGAGTAGCCTATGTTTTCTTCCAGACTATCCTTTACCTCTATGCCAACTTTCATCGAGATCCTTTCAGCTGTTTAGGCTACAAACTCTAACAAACATCCATCCATCTAAACTTTCTCATTTATAATATTATATTACTAGCTTTTGTCCGCGACTCCGTCTGCGTGGTATTAAAGAAAAAACAAAAGTAAGTAGCCTGTGTGTTCTTCCATACTCTGCTCTATATTTATGCCAAATTTCATCCAGATCCGTTCAGCCGTTTAGGCTACAAACTCTAACAAACATCCATCCAACCCTCCATCTAAACTTTCGCATTTATAATATTAGTTAGATTATTCAAAACTCTTCGCTCTCATAAAGTTTATCACCTTGATCATATAACAAGACTGTATTAAAATTGAATGTCGATGACTACGAAAGTAGGGAAATTCCGAAGAAATCATAGATTTGAATAGCAGTGGTGAATAATTAAAAGTTTATACAATTGTTACATTGATACGTGATGCAAAATTATTCAGATGTTTATAAAATTAAATACTGATTATGGTAACTACAACATACTAAATACGTAGCTACTAACTTCTTTATACTTTTAAATACTCCAATTAATAAATGACTCATGTTATTTTATCCTATGAGATAATAGTTTCTTTGTCTAAAACATGAGAACGTGGAAGTTAAAATAATATTATTCCTATTTGATTTTTAACAATGAACAATACCCACTATATAATTTGCAAATTCCTAGAAACCTCTAACAAAATGGCAATGATATTAAAATTTAAAGTGAGTACTTAGCCTGAATTGGTATTAATCGGACACAGACTTAGGAGACACTTGACCACGACTTCTTATTGTTGTGATGTAAGTGAAAACTGTTTTAAATCAAATAAAAATACAATTTAATTATCACTCTGTTGGTACACGTAACACATAGAATCTAGACATCTTCTAGATGTTTCCATGACAAAGTTTGTTGTATTCGCTTTCGTTTGCGACGCCTCGTTAGTCGTTTTGCCACGGACCTCCGCGGTGACAATGCCGCAATCGACCCCCCGTCGATACCCGGTCGCAAACGACCCCCCGAAGTGACAACCAAATGAGCGTGAACCATTGTTAAGTGAAGGGTTTGGCAAACAAAATAATATTCCAAAGTGTCAAAATATTATCAGAAATGGGTTGTAAAAATATTTAGAAATAGATTCATCATCATCATCATCATCATCTCCTTATCCTACTCCCGTAGGGTCGGCGCAACAGGTTTTTGTCCTCCACATAACTCTATCATACGTCATCTCAGTCATCACTCCCTTTTTGATCATGTCACCTTTTACACAATCCATCCATCTCTTTCTAGGTCTACCTCTACCGATGTACCCTTCCACACCCATAACTAACGTTCTCCTCGATTCTAACGATTGTCGATGTATTATTTTTTTACGGTGTTGATATTTATTTATATATCGAAAAATTCTCTATAGAATAAATATTTTCATCGTGTATTTTAAATTTATTTATCACATAAATTAAATTGTTTATACAATTTAGTCAAAATGTATTTACCAGCCCTTAACTAAGCGCATAAAGGGTTGTCACGCACCCTTATGCCATAAATCGCTACATTAAATCCGTGAGAGTTTTACTATTTGCGGCTAGAATTGACCTAATTGTATTACCGGACTTCGGGGCTTGCCTTTTTATTTATTTAATGGGCCAAAATGTATCTCTAGGGCTTTATGAACGTTGTGTCTAGCTATAAATTATTTGCTGTATTCATAGTTCAAATGAATAGCGAAGCTATAACTAGACGTATGTTATTTATTGGGTTTACACGCTTACTTGCGTAGCTTGAATGGTTTGCTAATACAATAGAAAATTATTTATTATATTTTTTTTATTTATAAGTCATTTTGTTTTAATTTTAACATTGTTTATATGTAGCATGGTCAACGTTTAACATTTTTTATTGAATTTATTTAATCAGGATATTCATAAAACGTATCAAATATGGGTGAAATCGTCAAAAACCTTAAAATTGATAAAGGATCGCAGTAGTTCAATAGAATAACAGCTGACGTATTCCGTATTTTCCAGGGTTGCCTCTCGATCGAGGCAGCGAGTGACAGTGACGAGGAACCAGCGCTGAAGCAACCGCGGCTGTGTCGGGGATCGCCGCGCAGGCGCACCCCCCAGCCCAGGCCCAGGAACCCCTCGCTAGACAGCAGACAGTCCGCCTCTGAGGTAAGGTATCACAACCATTTGCATCGTTTGTCGAAGTTCAAAGAGTTACGTGGCATGAACTATGACCGTGATCCTTTTTGTAAGCAAAATGTCTGGTCTTTTCTTTCTTGTTAAATGGCTGTTTTATTATTTATTTGATTGTTTTAAACTAGGAGGAGGGCGACGATGTGTTGAGGTGCGAGTGGAGAAGCTTGGTACCGGAGCGCGTAAGCGCGCGGCAGCGGCGCGACATGGACCGCAGCGATGAGCACCGCGTACCCGACCTCACGCACCTCTCGGACCTCGCAGACCTCACAGACCTCACACACAATGACGTCACAGACGGACACACGCCACCGCACAGCAGACTCAATGGTGAGTACTGACATAACACTCTTTTTAGTTCGAACGGGATTGGTATACTACATGGTAATGTTACTTAATGGTTAAATAATTCCTTTCGTAACTTTCCTATGGTTTATCATGTGAAAATAGTAGCAATTTCAGTACTTTTCTTACTTCATGTAAAGTGTCAAGTTAAGGTACATTATAGAAAGTTGAATTATCTCCCGTAGATTTCATGCAATTTCCATAAATGGTGAACAAAGAGTCAATCAATAACAAACCATCTCTTCAATGTAAATTACGCATCCGACTTTCCATATTCGCACAGATCGCGACCGGTGACTGACGCCCGTGCGATTTGCATAAATAAACATTGGCACGTTCAATCGATCACTACTCACAATATTGTTCAAATACCGACGTTTTATAAATAAACAAACAGACTGCGACAACGAAGTAGTCTATCATTCTACTGTGTCTGTTCCAGGCCTCAGTACGCAAGAGACAGAATCGATGAATTTCCACGAAGAACCCAAAACACCGCCCACGGTAGTCAAGAGGAAAAAACCAGTGGATACGTCAAAATTCAATCAAACCGATCGGAAATCCAAAAACTGTGCCACATTCTACTTCAGACATCACGACACGGATTCTGACGGACGACAAATGGTCGAGACGGACGAGAAATCGCAAGAATCATCTGAAGAAGAATGGACCTACGTTGGAAATCCTAAAATAGCTAATGAAGATTCCACCGATCTGATGACATCGTCCGTTGAGATACAATGCGAGTTGACACTTGATGAAAAGAAGGACAAACCATCACCAAAACCGAAGTTAGAATCGTCAACACCGGATTTACTGAAAGTGGAAGCGAGGTGTAAAGATATAGAGAGGCTGGTGATCCAAGCGGAAGAATTGGTACAGAAGCAAGCGCAACATCAAATGGCAAAGAAGAAGAACTCGAGGAATTTTAAATCGTCGTTGATAGATGAAGAAGGGAAGGCGGTGAGCAGGGGAAAGATGTCGCGGATAAAGGAGTGGCTCAACCAGAGTACGGAGGAAGAACGTGCCAAGAATGAAAACAATCAGGTATTTTTGTTTGATTTTTTTAACAATTAACTATTATAACAAATAAAATCCTTACATCATTATTAAGATAATAAGTTCAATTAATTAGACATATAAAATAGAATAGAAAATATGACGATTAACTCTTTTATTTCAGGTAAAAGAAACTAAAACATTGTAACATTAATTGACGTCTGTCTTGAACCACTTAACACCGTTACAAATTATTACAATCCTCTTATCTGACATAATGCAATTTTCCCTCTTCATATCACTCAATATAGAACCCTATTACTTAGTAATACGGTATATTTTGCAGTGTACGGAGAGCTACGACGCTTCGGGTGAATACACCACAGAAAGTGAAGTGGATACTTCTTTGACATCTGAAGAGCGCAACTTGCATTCGTCAATGGACATGAGCACCTCCACTTGTACTGTCACCCCGACACACCAAGCCAAGGTAATAACAACTCTATTGTTATCTGCTAAGCTTCAATTTTGTGCTATCTTTGTTTGTTTAAACTTATTGACGAATTAACAATGATGATTTAACAGAAGAATCAAGTGTCATGGTCATTAAATGTTAAGTAATGTTTTATAAAACATTTTTATTTAATTAATCTACGAATTATCTTTATGTTTAAATCTTGAAATAATGGATTATGTAAGGAAAATTTTTGAACATAATAGTAATAATGTTTAAAAATCATACTAATAAATGCGAAAGTTTAGATGGATGGATGTTTGTTAGCGTTTTTACCCTAAACGGCTCAACGGATCTGGATAAAATTTGGCATAGATGTTCCATAGTCTAAAAGAATACATAGACTACTTACCTTTGTTTTTTAATTCCATGCGGAAGGAGACGCGGGCGAAAACTAGTAATGTTATAAATGCGAAAATTTAGATGGATGTATGGATTTTTGTTAGTGCGTATCTCTATCAATCTAAATGAGATTTTTCTAAAAACCTCCGAAATATGTATTATTGATTTTGTTTTTTTGTTAATTCCGGGACATAGTCGCGAGCAAAAGTTAGTAAATCATATTTAAGCTTCACACATCAATGTCTAATACTGTGATTAACAAACTGACGTACTAATACAAGCAGGTGCAGCTGCGCAAGAAGCGGTGCGGTCCGCGGCCGTGGTCCGTGTCCTGCCTGTCGCAGCTGGCCGCGCGCGCCGACATACACAACATGTCCATCTCCGAGTCCGCGCTCAACACGCTCGCCTCGCCGCAGAGAGTCACCCCCGCGGAGTCTAGCGCACTACGTGGTAGTTCCACTACAGTGCAGGTGAGACGACTAGCCTACAAACAACGCCCAGTGTGTGGCAGCCTGAGCATAACGTGTGTGACTTGCATTATCTATATACATTAGGATCATCTTCCTGGCTTGGTAAATACAAAGTTTTGGACTGCAAAATTTTTGTTTATTGATACTTAAGGTTATTTAGAATCAGTCCTACCAGTCTTGTAAATTGTCAGATAACAATCCAACATGTAACATGTATGATGGAAATATCGAGTTATGCTAATGGTTGAGACTAATTAAGCCAGCCAGTGGTGGGACAGGCCCTTATTAGCAAAAGGTGGCAAGCTCAGCCAATACAGGGACAGCCGGCCGTTCCTGCGCTGGTTTTCAGCACAACATTTTAGTTTCAGCTTATCATGGTAATGCCACATAGAGTGGATTAATGCTACTTGACCAGCCGCGTAGTGAAGATGAAATCTAAAGTAAATACAGTTTCAATAATGGCCCAAACTAGTTTATTTTTACAAGAGTTTGCCATTTTCTCCATCTCCGTGGGCAAAAAGTTCATGTCACTATAAAATACCATGCGTATGATACATAAATATAATCGGCGGAACATGAATTTCCAAACATTTTAATTTACGTAAATATCATTCTTGACACCAACTTGACACTTTAGTGACTTTCTGGTTTAAATATTTCCATTGTGAAAACGAAAAGTACATAAAACCTCTGTGAGAATATGTTTTTGCACTTGTAACCCTATTAACTATAACTACAACTTTTACGATAACCGGCGATTTGCAAAGTGCAACTCACCCTTAGTTCGGCAGTAAGTGTGTATGATGCGTTAGGGGCACGTGTCGAGTACGAACACGATGACGGAGGCGTGCACGTCGTGCGTGGAGGCGGGCGAGCGGCAGTGCTGGGCGCGGCGCAAGCGGCTGAAGCTGCGCAAACACGCCGACAGCCGGCCCGCGCCCGCGCACGCCCGCGACCGCCTCGTCAAGTCGCGCTCCTTCTGCGGCCGCCTCAGCCCAGAGATGGAGGACGGCAACGAGAGGAGCGCCGCCAGCGACCCCGCCACCAGCAGGAAGAATAGGTAAGTTTGTGTGTGACAGTATTAGTAGACAGTATTAGGTAGTCTCAATGTTTTTATAACAGGTGTGTAGTCAGCTTTAAATTATTGTACAATTTTCCTTGAAATTGAACGTAGATCGGATATAAAATCTGATCTATTGGTATTCGTGTTTCTTATGCTACGCATGTCCAAAATAACATAGGTGTGCATGCATTATTTAGGCCTCAAATCATATTACCATCACAAGCCATTGCGCTGTTTATTTATAGTTTCATGAATCCAAAAGCCTAACACATAAATGAGGTATAAAGTTAAACTTAGGAATAAACTGAGTGTAAGCAAAATTTGTACTAACATTTGCTTATAATCAGTTTATTTCTAAGTTTAACTTTATACCGCGTTTATTTGTAAGTCTTTCATCTTAGGAATAAAAAATATAAATTGCAGATTCGATACAACATCGACGTCCGGCAATGAAACTGATGAGGAACTAATAAAGCAGCAGTTGACGACGATCGCTAATCTACGCAGAAGTATCGAGAAGACGCACATCACAACTAAAGAAGACAGTGCCATTCCAGAACAGAACGAGCCAGAAGTGGTCATCCCGAGTTTCAAACTTGGTCCAGAAGGAGGCCCAGTCAGACCGAGGATGGCCAGGAGTTCAGAGAGAGAAAGATCCTTCTTGGCGTTGAGTTTAGGAGACCCGAGTCAACTGTGGGATCTGAGTATAGATAGGGATTCTGATATTGACAAAAGTGTGACAGCCGGCACTGAGGAGCACAGCTCGTTCTCGGAGCAGGCCTGGGATTTCTACCAGGTGCGTGGACTTCATTTCTTAACTAACCTTTAAATAATTTAGAAAACATATGTCCATTACTGCTTTGATTCGTATTTACATTTCACTTAATTTAATATTATTATTCTACGGAGACATTGAAATTTAAAAGTAAAGATTTGTTAACGCCACTTGCACCATTATCATTTAGTTTTTTTTTGGTACGCCATACATATTAAATCAAATTGAAAATGTGAGATGTAAATTTAAAAATGTTGTACCAACAGGAAAAATACAACTCAGAGCCATACTCGGAGGCGCCGGACTCTGACGGGGCGCGGCGGCTGCTGGAGTTCGGCGACGACTACCGCAAC